ATTTAAATGCATATTAGTAAGTGAAGGAAGCCAATCTGAAAATGTTACATACTTTATGATTCCACCTATATGACATTCTGGAGAAAACAAAATCATGGAGACAGTAAAAAGGTCAGTGGTTGCTGGGGTGAGGGAAGGGTGAATAGTCAGAGCACAGAGAATTTTTAGGACAGTGAAACTATTCTGTATGAAACTCTAATAGTGGATACATGTCATTATACGTTTGTCAAAACCCTTAGAATGTACAACACTGAGTGAACGCTCATCTAACCTATGGACTTTGGAGACAATGATGTGCAAATCTACCACTTTGGTGCTGGATCTTGATAGTCTGGGAGGTTGTGTGTGTGTGGAAATGGAGTATATGGAAACTCTCCATACTTTCTGTTCAATTTTACTATGAATCTAAAAAATAAAATATATTAAAAACAAGTGACCCTGATCCAGAAAAAAAAAATATTTTCTTTGCCAATATTAGAAAAGAAGGGAGGGGAAATTAGAAAACGTTAACATATCCACAGCTCAACTGGATCTTAAAAAGAGTATTGGTGTAAAACTTTGAAAATAATGATTTGAGCCTTTACTTCTGATTAAGCTGGAATAGCAGGGGCTAGATAGACCCTCTCATCCGAAACAACTGAAAATCCAGGTGAAATTTGTGAAACAACATTTGAGGGAGAGGAAACCGAGAAGGCAAGCCCACAGGTGCCCTGTCTACTGCCTGGAGAAAGATCCCAGGCCACAATGCAGGGAGAGGAATTCCAGAGTCTCCAAGGTGAGGAGATGCCAACTGAAACATCCTTTTTTTATAAGCTCATATGCTTTTCTAATTTGTCATTTTCCAATTATTTTACACTTACTTTTTATCTTATATCCCCACCTTTCATGTTATTATTAACACACATTGATTTAAGGAATACAAACTTTGACACAATCCCTAGGAGACTTCTAATAACTAATTAAGATGTGAAATGACTTAAAGCAAAGTTAAGGGAAGCATAAGGCCATGAAATATAGGACCTACTCTTTAAAAAAAATTATTTCATCACAGTTTTGTTAACCAATGTTACTAGAAATAAGCTACTTCAATACAGATATTTTTATCAAAGTAATATCTTTTACTTTCTAAGTCTGCATTGAATTCTCTTTTTCCCCAATCGTCTAATTCAGGTCATTGATTCTTTTTTCTGTAGTTTCAAGTCTTCTATTTACTTGTTCTAACCTCATTTAATATTTTGTACTAGCAATACTTGAATTTGTCATTCCTTTTTGTACGTTTTGCCAGCTTATTTTCAATCTCATGTTATTGTCTTAACTCATTTTAACTTCTTTCATGCTTTTTTCCGTGAAGTGTAGTTATTCTCTAGCTGTTCCTCTTTATCTTGGAGATAACCATGAACAAAAGCATGATATTCATGGATCTCCCAGTGTACTGTAAAATTTTTAATAGGTTCCTTTTTTTATGTTGTATTAAATTCACCTTGTATTATTCTTCCTTTTAGTAATGGTTTTAACTAGACCCATGATTACCGAGCCAGAGACTACATTGCCCTTGTTCCTTATGAGCTAGGTTATGATCATATTACTGAGTTCAGGCCAAAGAGATGTAAGCAATTGGGTGTGTGTGACTTCTCGCTCTCCTCGTTCAAGATATGATGCTTCCTCTGGATTCCTCTTTCCCTATCCAGTTGTCTGGAAAATGTCAACAACGGAATTGACCTTCTTGCTCCTAGAGATGGAAGCCATGTATGGATGACAGCAGAACCATTTTGCTAGCCTGGGTCCTGGGAGGAGCTCAGGAAAAGCAGTTACCCATAACCATCCTCAAATGTCACATGAGAGAGAAAGAAATTTCTATGTTGACACATTGGGCTAGATAGTTCTTGCTGTGATGGCTGGCTTATGCATTTTAGATTATTTAGTAGCATCCTTGGCCACAACTGCTAGATGCCTACAACACCTCTTCCTTGTCCTGGTTATGACAAATAAAAATGTGTCCATTCTTTGGCAAATATCCCCTACAGGGGAAAATTGTCCCTAGTTGAAAACCACCAGTCTATAGACTAACTAATGTAGGAATTGGTACCAGTAAGTGAGATGCTGCCTTAATAAAACTTATAAAATACGACATTCACTTAGGGGTCAGGTAGGAAGAGGTGAGTAAAGAGACATGGAAGGCTGGAAGGTGATCATCAGTTTTTTGCTGTAGCATTTGGTAAAACTGTTGCCTGTAAAACTGTAGTAGGTAGAACACATTCCCACAGAGCCTAAAGCTACAGAGCAAGTGTTTAGACAGAGGCAGAATATCGTATGTTTTGGTTGTTCCATGCTGTTTTAGGCAAAATATTACAGCAAAGAATGAGCACATCCAGGAAATATTGGACAAGCTGCTTATGTCTGCAACCTAAATTGACTAATAGGTCAGGAAAGTGAGTTTTCTCAGAATTGAAAAAGTTAACTGTTTCAACACCACAAACAGCAAGAGAAAGACCATCGCTCACAGTTTTCCTCAAAGGCCTCTCACTTGGACTTTCCAGACAAAAATATGAGGACGTCACAGGTAAAGATCGGACTACATGTGGTGCCTTCAAACTCCTGCCTGCTTTTTCAGAGGTCTGCAGAGTTTTAACCACTCTTAAAATGAGGAAGAGGAAAGCAGGCCCAGCAAAGAAGTCAATTAATTAAAAGCAGGAGTCAGAGCAGGAAGGACTCTAAGTGCAAGAGATTTTTGGATGAGGTTCTTTCACTTGGAACTAAATAGACGAGAAATCTTGATTCTTGAAAAAGTTGAAAATCACTAGTCTGGCCTTCAAAGGCTTTTAATTGTGTGATGTATAAAGAAATGCTTGGTTTCTCAAAACTGCACCAGCACGGAAGAAACTAGGAAAGCTGTGTAGTGGCCTAACGTAGCCCAGCTCTCCAACCTCTGCTTCAGAAGATGGTGTGGGACATTAGGAAATAGAAAAATTTCCCAGATAACCAAGATTGGGGCCAAAAAAAGACAATGAATTAGGAACTTCCTCCCAGAGAACAAAACCAGAGTCTCACCAAGGCAATCCTCCACTGACAGGTCAGGGAGTTCTTGAAATTCCAATCCAGCATGATTTGTTTCACAATTGTAATGGACCAATGGCTTTTTTAGGTGGGGATTTTTATTGCAGTTATCCTATTTCTTTTCCACCATTACATATTTGGTGTGTATGGACAGGGTGTTGGAGGTAAGAGAAAATTACATGACTGTAATTTTGAGTTCACCAGACTGTTGGGCTCTCAACTGGATCACACAGAAAAGATTGTGCATCACCCAGAGATACCCAATTTTGAGTGGGATGCAGTAACTGGACAACACATTTGATTGTACCTCTTGAGGAAGAGATGTTTCTCTATGAGGAAAGAAGGCTATATGGATACTTGTACATGGATACTCGGGTGTCCAGAGTGACAGTCTGCCAGAAACCATTACTTTTCTCCCAGTGTTTATCCCTCGCTACTTCCTTTCAGTAATAGAATCTATTGATTTTTAGTTGAGTACAAGGTATCCAGCTAGATAGAATATATTCCCAAGCCTCCTTTGCAAAATGGGGCTTCTCATGCAACTAATAGCCAATAGAATAAGTGAAAAAGAATTCCTGAACTTTGTGGGTCATGTATTTAAAAGAAATACGTTGCCTTTCACTAACTTTCTCTTTGGGTTGGCTATCAAATAGAAGAAAGTCGGACAGACACCTCAGACACAGAGATGGAAGCCACTTCTTGAGAGTAACAGATTTGTTTCAAAAGTTTGGTTCCCTAAATAGAAGAGCAACCTATCTGCCCCAGAATTTTATGCAAGAGAGTAATATGCTATCATCCTATTTCAACTACTGTAATTTTGGTTTTCTTTTTTACTTGTTTTTAAGTCTATATCTTAACTCCTACATCTTCCTTGGGATTACCACAGCATTATTAATATTGTCCTTTGAAATATGCTGAAGCTCCAGGTGTATTAAAGTTACATTTTAAGCTCAATTATTCAGGATGTTGGATATATAGAATTGATCTGGGGCTATGGGACATAGGCCATTACAGCTGGGATAAGTGACTCTGCATTTTTACACTTAATATATTAACAGCATTGTCCTGGACTAGCTCTGGCTACCAAACTAGGCAAAGTATTCTTCAATAAGCATTTTCAATTCTTAGTATTCTCTTATTCTATTTTCCAATATGGAAGAGTATTATACTTCTATTTTTCCCATGACAAAACTATTTACATACATATTTTTATTTATCTCAAAAACCCAGTTATAAGATTTAGCTGTTATATTATCTATTCATTAAACAATCTGCTTTAAAAATAAAACAATTACTTCTTTATTTCAAACCTGGATTTAATGTGTAGCTCCCATTCTAATGCATTCACTCTTGTGCATTCACACGCACACACATAATTCCTTCCTTGGGTTTAATTTCTTTCCTTTTTTAATTTCCTGGGTTTAATAAGTATCTTTTACTCCTCTTCTTTCACATTTAGTAAGAAATTTCCTCTTAGGAGAGCTTCAGTGGTACCCCATGAGTTCTTACATGCACTTACTTTTCTCAGTTTACTTGGGCACTTTTGTTATTTAATAGTTTGTTAGCTTCACTGCACCCTTCCTCAACAACTTGGGATTTGTCTTATTTCCATGTTTCAAGCAGTGAAACAATAACAAAGCTGGACTAAAATAAAGAGAGAGAGAAATTCAGCTTATTCAACTCACTTTAATAGGCAACTCACTTCCCACGAATCACAATGGTAAAGTTCAAGTGAGATCTTAAAGGGAGTTGGGCAAATGCATGACAGAACTAAAATGAGTTGCCTGGCTGTGCTGATGTTAAGAGTTCCTGATAGCCCAGCCCTTGGCCACTCCCTGGGTCTTAATACAGGGGTAGATTTTAACAGAAGTCAAGTTGAGATGTAAAAGCATCAAGTTTACTTAAAGGCTGCAGGCAGGAAGCTGTAGGAAGGAACACTTTGTCAACTACAGGTTGCTGAGAGCATCCACTCCAGGAAGGATTTTACCTTCCAGAAGCTCTAGACTGGCACCTCCTCCAGTGCTCACATGACTGACTTTATCTTCGGTGTTCCATTTAGCACAGCAAGTAGCAGTGTCTCCACCTCCTATAATGGTGATACAGCCCCTGGAAGTGGCTTTCACAATTTCATCCATGAGGGCTTTGGTTCCCTTAGCAAAGGCATCCCATTCAAATACCCCTACAGGTCCATTCCACACAATTAGTTTGGCTTGGGCCATCACTTGAGCATACTTCTTATTAGTCTCAGGACCGCAGTCCAAACCCATCCAGCCGGCAGGTATGCCTGATGCTACAGTGGCTTGGCCAACCTTAGCATTCTCCTCAAACTTGTCAGCAGTAACAAAATCAACAGGAAATGTAATGCGCACACCATTCTTATTGGCTTTGGCCATGATATCTTTGACAATCTTGGCTCCCTCTTCATCAAACAGGGAAGCACCAATCTCCATGTTGTTAAGTACCTTAAGGAAGGTATAAGCCATTCCACCACCAATAATCATCTCATTGACCTTGTCCAGCATATTTTTGATGAGTTGGATCTTGTCTGCCACTTTGGCTCCACCAAGTATAGCCAGAAAGGGTCTCTCTGGGTTTTCCAAGGCTTTGGCAAAGTACTCCAGCTCCTTCTTCATCAGAAATCCAGATGCCTTCTGGGGCAGATTTATTCCCACCATGGAACTGTGGGCTCGGTGAGCAGTGCCAAAAGCATCATTGACATAGACATCCCCGAGCTTGGACAGTGATGCCCGGAAGGCTTCTATTTTACCTGCCTCAGCTTTAAGCTTATTTCCAGAAGGATCTTGGCCCTTCCCTTCTTCCTCCACATGAAAGCGCAGGTTCTCCAGCAGGATAACTGAACCAGTAGCTGGGTTGGCACAGGCTTTCTCCACTTCTGAGCCCACACAGTCCTTCAGGAACAGAACATCCTTGCCCAGCAAGGATTTGAGCTCAGCAGCAACAGGCTCTAAAGAGTATTTATCAGGCATGGGAACACCATCAGGTCGACCTAAATGACTCATAAGAACTACTGACCTGGCTCCATTATCCAGGCAGTACTTGATGCTTGGGATGGAAGCCTTGATTCTCTGGTTGTTTGTAATCTGGTTCTTCTTCATGGGAACGTTGAAGTCTACTCTCATGATGATTCGTTTCCCTTTAACATCTAGTTTGTCCAAAGTTAACTTCTTAGAAAGAGACATCTTGGCAATACAAAGACATAGGCTGACACCTGGATCCCCAGGACTGAAGAACCACTTTACTGCTGCTGGTCGTTGGGGCAGGTGGTGTGTTCTAACTCCGGTCCCTTTGGCCCGCCCCTTTCTTCTCAGCACTAAGCATCCCACACACAGCCATGATTAGACTAGGGAAAGGAAATCTGGTTCTGCGATTGGTCAATGGTCCTGTCAATCTGGATTTGGAATACATTGTCTGACGCATACTCAAACCGTCAGGGCAGAAGGCGAACCTGGAGTAGTGGTACTTAGTTTAGGGTGACAGGGAGAGGAAGAAACTGGAATAGGAATGGTCCTGCGAGGCAGCGTGGGGCGACCGGCGCTGCGCTGACCCCAGGTGGGTAGTGCGCCCACTTCCCCCCGGTCGGTGGCTGCTGGCAGCTCGGCCGCCGTCCCTCCACCTCGAGTCTAGGAGCTCTGGGCCCCACTCTGCCGTTGCCTATGAGGATTCAAGCTTCCCGGCGGCGCACCCAGGGGCAAAAGCATCACCACTAGCATGAGGACATCACTGGACGTCAGCCCCGGGAGACTGTCCGACATCAGTCCCCAGTTCCTGCAGCTCATATCCTTGGTGGACGAGGCCCCAGGGATTAAGGAAGATCTGAAATGGTGGCACTCGGTGGAGGACTTACCAGCGGGCCCATGGGACTCACGTTTATCAAGGAGTGGATCCTGCGCAGCACTGCCTACTGTGGCTACCAGTCCTGGGCAGCAAGTTACAAAACCCCCTGAGACCTGCATGTGAAGAAGCTTGGGCTATCCTCGTGGAGGAAGAGAAATCCCGCGGAGAGAGAGGCCCCGCCAATAGCCAGCGCCAACCACCGCACATGTGAGTGGGGCATCTTAGACCATCCGGCCCCAGCTGAGCTGCCAGAAGACTGCAGGCACATACATTAAAAAAAAAAAAAAAAAAAAAATGAAAAAGAAAAAGAGAATGGTCATGAGGTCTAAGCCTCCTGCTGTTTTTTTCTGTATTCCTTTTAACAATTGCTCTTATTCTTAAAAACAAACAAACATACCCCCTCGGGCGTGTCAAATCCTAATTATATTGACGTGTAAAAACTCCTGCAGTGCCAAATAAAGGAAAAATTTGAAGTAATTGTTCTATGAAGCCCTGTTTATTCAAGGCAACATGGTATGCTTCTGTTTTTTCCTTGTCTTGGTAAATATTTCTGTAAAGAGCATAGCTTGGAGTTAGCCTTTGCCCTTACATATATTCTAGGGTGGGGTGAGAATGATATGGTCTTCATTACCTTGCTTCTTCCATCCTCAGACTACTGTGAGAGAAAGCTTGGTCACTTCTTCAGGAGAATCCCCTAAGATCACAGCAAAGAGAATATCAGGAAGGCGCTGAAGATAATGGTGACATTTCTTTCAGGCTACAAATTTATGATGAGGCCCCTTCCTTTTTCTCTCTCTTTGTTTCACTACTTGTATAAGTTAGAAAATGAGCTGAAAAGAGGCATGGTTTCACGAGGATGAAAATGTCTTTTTGAATTGAAAATGAGTGAGAGATTTTATTTTTGGATAAAGTATTTATGGCTGATTGGTTTAGTAATGAAAACTGGCTTTGCAATTAGTTTATATGGCAGTTTCCATAAGTGGAATGAACTAAATATGTAGCATCAAGACTTTGACAAAAGTTTATTTGAGGTGTCACCCACTAGGATGGCTATAATAAAAGAAGACAGACAATAACAAGTGTTGACGATGATGAGAAATTGGAACTTCACATATTGCCAGTAGAAGTGGAAAGTGGTGCAGACACTTTAAGAAACAGTTGACGTTTCCTCAAAATATTAAACATGGAGTTAGCACATGACCCAGCAGTTCCTCTCCTAAATATTTACTACAGTGACATCACTACATTCTTCTAATGGCTAAAATCCAAAAATCCGACAATAACAAATGCTGTCAAAGATGCATAGCCATAGAAAGTTTCGGTTATTGCTGTTGAGAATGAGGTATGCTATAGCCACTTGGAAAACAATTTGGCAGTTTCTTGTAAATGTAAACACAGACTTACAAAATGAGCCATAAATCCTACTCCTAGGTGTTTATCCAAGTACACAGAAAACTTATATTCCCTCCAAATTCTCTATACAAATGTTTAGAGCAACTTTATGCATAATTGCCCCAAACTGGATAGTCTTCAGCTGATGACATCCATACAACAGTGGATACATCTATACAATGGAATGTTCTAAAATAAAAGGAAATAAGCCATTTACTTATACAAAATCATGAATGAAACTTAAATGTATTTACTAAAAGTATGTAGATATTGTATAATTCCATTCATATGACATTTGAAAAATGATCAAACTAAAGATCTGGAAAACATGTCAATGGTTACCAGACGTTAGAGGAAGATCGAGGTGGTCAACTATTATGGGGATGCAATGGGAGATTTTAAGTAAGATAGAACTTTTCTACACGGGACTGGAGTGGTGAATACAAGATGTTACGCATTTGTCAAAATCTGTAGATTTGTACATTATAGAGACTGAACTTTAATAAATGCAAATGAAAAAATGAACCAGGATGTTGCGGAATCTCAGGAGGGAATGCAGACTCAGACAAATGAACCAAACTGTAGTACGATATATCACAAATCTCACTGAAGAGGGAGAAAAAAAAGATAAGTAACTTTGGAAAAGAGGTTTCCACTTGGTAAGGTTAAGACTAAAAGGCAAGTACATAAATGTAATCCTGCAATTGGTAAATTTGTTTATCACAGGCATATAGGTTAACAATTTTGAAACTATTTTACATGTATACTAGAGTAAAACAAATAAATGATGGTAGATTGGTTTCTCACTCTCAGCAAAAGAAGTTACAAATAACAAAGAGGAAGACTAGAATGAACTCTGTAGCACTGTATTAGAGTCAGAGATAAAAGCATGAGCTCATATTAAGTTCAAAATATACACACACATAAATACAAAACAATTATAGATATGTGTATATACATACGTACCAGTTTTTTATTCTTGCTGTAAAAGAAAAATGTATCTACTTAAAACATCACAAGTTTGTTCTCTCACAGTTCTGTAGGTCAGAAATCCAGGTTTGCTTGACTGGTTTCTCTGCTCTGGGTTTCACAAGGCTGAGATCAAGGTGTTGGTGACTGGGTTCTTAGTGGGAGATTCTGGGTAGAATTTTCTTCTAAGCTCATTTAGGTTCTGGCAGAATCCACTTACTTGCAGTTATAGAACTGAGGTCTCTGCTTCTTTGCTGGCTGTTAACAAGCCCATAAAGGCCCTCTCAGATCCTTGCATATAGGTGCATATTTCTGTGCCAGCAATGATGCATTGAATCCTTCTTACACTTGAAATATCTCTGATTTTCACTTCAGCTGCATGTCTCTTCTACTTTCAGCCAGAGAAAATTCTCAGCAGTTAAGGACTCAGGTGATTAATTTGGACGTATGTGGATAATCCAGCATGAATTCCCTATCTTAAATTCTGTCACTTAATTATATCTGCAATGTCCCTTTTACTATGTGATATAATATGTTCACATGTTCTAGAGAATAGGGCATAGACATCTTTGATGGGTACTTAATCTGCCTACCACAACATGATTTGTATACGTACAAATATTTCCAATCCATCTATAAGAAGGCCTAGAAGCAGTGACATCCCAGGTGAGAGAACATACCCTGACCGAGACCTTGGTTTCTAAATAGTATCCTCTGATAAAAGGAATCAGAACTCCTTGGACAAATGGCTGATTCTAAGACTAGGGGAAAGGAAACTCATGATGAGTCCAGAGTATTTTATAGTGCCAGAAAGTACAAAAGTAAAGCTGGCACAACTTAAGCAACAAAATAAATAGTATCAGATTATTACCCAAAGTATAAAATAATATACGTGACTCCACACAGATATAAATAATTAAATAAATAAATAAGCTGGGGAGAAGAAACAAATCTTCCTTATAGAAGAATTTCAGATAATATGTGTAGATAGTCTCCCCTCCTGGAGATGGAGATTAATTGATCCACTGCTTGAATATTGTCTTAACTTAGTGACTTTCACCCAAGGGATAGAGGATGGAAATGTGACTAATGGTAACTTTACAATGGAGAACTTTGGCAAACACCACCATAGCCAAATGATCAAGGTCAACATCACCAGTGATGTCCTGTAATATCATGAATGCCTTGATATGATGCAATGCGAAGGATATTTTACCTCTGTGATATTCTCCCTTAAAATCCATAACCCCAGTATAATCATGAGAAAATGTCAGACAAATCAAAGTTAGGGACCTTCTACATAATACCTGATCGGTATTCTTTAAAATTGTCAAGGCTATGAAAAACAAGAAAATGTTAAAAAGCTATCATAGATCAGAGGAGATCAAGGGGACATAATAACTAAATTCAATATGGTATTCTAGATTTGGCTCTGGATCTGAAAAAAAGGACGTCGATAGTAAAATGTGAAAGTTGAATAGAATTTGGAGCTTGGTTAATAGTAACATACCGATGTTAACTTCTTAGTTTTGATAAATGTAATATGGTTATGTAAGATATTAATACTAGGGGAAAATGAGTGAAAGAGATATGAGAGCTCTCTGTTCTATCTAAAATAAATCTCAAAATTACTCCCAAATAAAAAGTTTATTAATACAAAAATCACTTTTATTTACAATAGTATCACAAAGTATTAAATAATAAATTTAACAAAAGGTCTGCATATCTCTACAATTAAAACTATAAAATATTTGTGAGAAAACCTAATGAGTATCTAAATAATTGGAGGTATTTACCATTTTTATTGATTCAAAGATTCACTGTTGTTATGATGTCAGTTCTTGCCAAATTGGTCTATAGATTCGACACAAAACCAAACACAAGCCCATAAATCTTCTTTACATAAAAAATGATGAGCTAATTCTAAAAATGATATGGAAATGCAAAGGGCCTAGAATAGTCAAATCCATCTTAAAAAGGAATA